AGGGCCTATGTCTGAGCCAAATTAACATTAAAATATTATTTACATTTACTCTGAAATTATGTTTTAAAAGTTGGGTGATAAGAATCATTTAAAAAAATTCTAGCCGGAATTAAAAAGTTATGGAAATACATGTAAAATAAACTGTGGAATGTTGAGGATATAAATGATAGATCAGTACTTAAGAGTGCCTGCTCACTTTCTATGATGTTTTAGAGACTGAATGTGAGTCACAGATGAAACACAGGAATCAGAGTATTTTGAAGCAATGGTTCTCAAACCTTACAGATTTCAAATACCAGTTAAATTAAAAAGAAAAGTTGGAATGACAAAGATAGAGACATCGGTGAGAAAGAAACATTATTAATTGGCTGCTTCCTGCACATCCCTTACCAGGAACCAAGCCCTAAACCAGGAATCTAATTATGACCTCCTGGTTCATAGGTCAATGCTCAACCACTGTATCACACCTGCTGGGCTAAAGGTTAGTCATTTTTATTAAGCAAATTTAGATTCATAAATACATCGTTACATAAAAATAGTTCTATGTAAATTTAAGATCTAAATGTGAAAAAGTAAAACTTTTAAAACAAGTTATAAGAGAACCTATAACCACAGGATATAGAAAACCTTTAAAGAGAAAAAGCACAATCATAAAAGAATAAACTTGACATTAACATTAACAAAATATTTAAAGTGAAAAGGCATGCTAAAAACTAGACAGATATTTGTAAAGCCTATCAAGTATTTTTACCAGAGTATATAAAAAGCATTTACAAATCATTTAAAATGAGCAATTCCATAAAAAAAAAAAAAAAAAGTAATGTATAGAAAAAGGAATGTGAATGGCTAATAAGAGTTCTCAATTGCAGGTCATCTAATTGGAGAGATGTAAATGAAAACTACAATGAAGTACTATTTCATACTCAAAATGAAGAAACTTGAGAAGTCTAAAGTACTTGGAAGGTGGGAAAATAGACTTTCGCCATTATGGAAACAAACACCTGAGAGAGAAAACTGGTAGTTTAAAGTTGAAGAAGTAGCATCTACCCTGTGTTCTAGAATCTAGATTTGTACCCAGGGCAATCTTGCTCAATGTTGGCTTTTAGTTGTTATAATGAATGGTGGGCACTACTGAACAGATGTCCTGGTGCCAAGCATTCTTGGTGCGTGGAGATAATGCTGCACCACATCCCATATCTCTGGAACATTCTGCTGGACATTAAGGTCAGATATTTTATAAACAGGACTTAACACAAAATATAGATTTGTTTTAATATAATGTAGATTATAAAGAATGCAACCACTATTTAAAGAGATAAGACTGGCCGAAACTGGTTTGGCTCAATGGATAGAGCGTCGGCTTGGGGACTGAAAGGTCCCGGGTTCTATTCCGGTCAAGGGCATGTACCTTGGTTGCGGGCATATCCCCAGTGCGGGATATGCAAGAGGCAGCTTATCAATGACTCTTTCTCATCGATGTTTTTAACTCTCTATCCCTCTCCTTTCCTCTCTGTACAAAATCAATAAAATATATTAAAAAAAAGAGATGACTGCACTTTTATCTTTGTTCATACTTTACTGAAAATAGTTTGTTATTTCAGAAACTTATTTTTCATCATTAGTACCACCACTGGTGTTTGAATGGCCAATTCAACACCTGTTTTAATCTGCATTAGTAGCCGTCCCATTTATTCATGGGGATACTACCCATTGGTGCAAAGCAGCTGACAACAACATTTCTTCTAGCAATGCTTCTTATACTTTAATGTGCACACAAATCACCTGGGAATCTTGTTCAAATTCAGCATCTGAGTTGGTAGAGCAGGGTCTGAACTTCTGATTTCTAATAGGCTCCCAGAATTCTGATGGTACTGGTCTACTATCACACTTGATAGAAAGATTTAGAGTGTGGTTGAGCCCCAGCATTTACAGAACAAAATGTATTACTTTGTTATATGTTACTTTTTATATTTTAGTAAGGGCATTACTTTCCTTAAAATATGAATGCAAGTTTATTATTTTCAATTTCTTTTTAGGACAGTATTGGGGAAGTTGCAAAACATGTCTATAAAAATGAGATACAGGGTCAAGAGCTATTGCCCTAAGTAAACACATAAAAGAATATTCCCCACAAGACTGTTTAATAAGCAAACAAGTAGAAAAACTAAAATAAATAAAAAAACTTGATATAGTCACATAATGGAACACATACCATATTGCAGAAAAATAAAGTAACTAGAACTACCTGACTAAACACAAATAAATTTTAGCAAATTGAGTGAAGAAAGCTACAGATACAATCATCATATTTAAATAATCTTAAAACAAAGAAAAATTATATAATGTCCATGGGTGTAAAGGTAAGAAGTAAAGTATAAACATGGATAGGATGGGTGCGTATCAATTTTGGGTCAGTGGTGAGGAATGAAGAGAAGGGTATAGAGGGGTATGTAAAGTACCATGAGAAAGGTTCATTTTGTTTTGTAGTTTTATTTCTTTAAGCATGGATATTCATTATATTGTGTGTTGCCAATACTTATATTGCTATATTATTTGTCATTTCACCTGAATTGGCAAAAACTGTTGGGTCTAGTCAAGTGTTAGAAAAACACTTCTCCTGAGGAAAGGATTTAGGAATAGATGTCAGAAAACTCAGCTTCAAGTGTCAATTCTGCATCTTACAAATTGTGTAGCTTTAGGCAATTTGAATAATTAAGCACTCTGGGTTTTATTCCACCTGTATATGATATCACTTTTCCCCTCTGACTCACAAAGCTGGTTGAGAGGCATACAGAGCAATGTATGTGAAAATTTTTTAACAGGATAGGAAAGGCAGGCATAATTTTTGAGCAGTAAAAGCAAATCTTACTGCTTTATATTATAAATAAAATCTATCAGTAAATAAACCAACCAAGTTCATCTGTCACTCTCTTTTCTTGTCATCACTGATTCTAAAGATATAACCAATCTTAACATGGAAGAAACTTTATGCCTACTAGTATAAATTCCTAAATGCATAGAGATAGGCATTCTCCCTATTATAACTACTTTATGCTAATTCTTGACCAAGAAATTGAAGTTCATCACATCAAAACAAAATAAGAGAACAGCACTAAAAAGTACTTATTTAACTGAAACAGTCTATGTCACATACCAGAGTAACTGTTGATTCTTATTGCCCTTACTATAGAATGAGCAGGTGGCACGTTTTATTAGCCCTATATTACAAATGAAGAAACTGACTCAGACACGGGGGAGCTGGCCAGTAGACCAAGTCAGTGACAGAACATGGAACAGACACTAGTGGCCTAGTTCTTCTGTGTCCATTAAGCAGTAAAAAACATTATTTTGTCACAGGGATACAGAAAGTCCTTTGTCAGATGTCATTTCACACACATTTCAAAATGGGTAAAAATACTCAAGAAAACAAGCCACTTACCTACAGTACCATACAGTGAGGGACAAAATTAAAACTGCCTTGCCTGGTAAAAATCAAATCCCATCCTTGCCAGTTAACCTTATTAATACTATGGTAAGACAAAAGAGGTGCCAAAATATGGATGAGGGTGCTATTCATTTCCCCCTGGATCTCAAAAAAAATTTTTTTTTAAAGTAGCGATTATTTGCACACCAGGGATTTTATTTTATTTTTTTTTATTAGTGGAAACGTGGCTCTCTCCACTGTTCAAGTAACCCATTACCACCACTCCAAAAATAGAAATTTACCAACAAGCCAAGAGTTGGCAGTACCCAATTAGAACACTGCAATTATGATAACTATCAAAACACTGGTAATTATTAGATATTAGACAATGTCACCCAAGTGATTTATGCTATAAACACATAAAGAGACAAAATTCTTTTTGGAGAAGAGTTCATTTTCTTTTAAGGCTTCCTGTTAATGTACTAGTAGTAAACAGAAGAATACTATCCCAACAGGTACCTGACTTACTCAGACACACTAGGTGGCTTCAAATGCTGGCAGAAGACAGCCAACCTTCATTTTATTAATTGGAGCCTTAAAAAAAAAAAATCAATGACTCATCTCTTTGTGGATGAAATATTAAACAGCAATATCTTCTCATAAACACCCCAAATTTAAACATCACCCTCTCTTGTATTCCGTTATTCACCCCTCTGCTTTACCAAATCCACCTCCTACTGACTTAAAAGAAAGCATCGTGTAAAACAAGCCATGCTCTGGCACTGCCAGGCATTTCACCATAAGATCACCACGAACGTTTTTGTCTTAAACGAGAAGCTGGGATGCATTCCCTTTACAAAAATAAAGCCCTTCTCAACAATACAATCTAACTGGAAAGAACTCTCGTTTCAGGATAAACACACACACACACACACACACACACACACACACACACACACACACAAAACACCCAAACATAAACTCCCCATTTTCCGGTGCACAATCCCTCACCACGCTACCCTGGAGTTGGAGAATAGGTTAAGACTGCAGCTCGCCCACCCAGACAGAAAAGGAACCCTACGGCCCGGCCGGCATTCGAAAATCCCCGGGGTCCCGGCAGATTCGATCTCACACCGGGGCCGGCACACGAGGGCGTTCGGGAGGCAGCGTGCAGGCTCCGCGATCTCCCGGTGAACCTGACCTCCCGCCCCTCCCCGCCCGCGGCCGGGAAAGCAGAGGAAGGGAAAGCAGACCTTCTCGGTAAGGAGGATCCCCACCGACCGCCAGTCTCCCCCAGGCCCCCCGATTCCCGCCGCCTCGCCCACCGCACCGACCCTCCTCCACCTCCACCTCTCCACCGCCCCCCCCCCCCGCCATCCCAATCCTCTCCAAAACCGGGAGGGGCTCCTCGCCTTTCCCCCCTGCGCTCGGTGGGATCCCGGTCTCCAACAACAAAGACGCATCGCGCTCCCCTCCCCCTGCCGGGCCGCGGCTGGCCTCGCCCGCGCTGCGGCTCCGGGCCCAGCAGCGCCCCCTCCCCAGCCCGCCGCCCGCCGCCCGCCGCCGCCTCACGCACCTGCACCGGCGGGGCCGCAGTCACGGTGCCGGGCGGAAAGGGCTGGGAGAGAACCTCCGCCGCCGCGCTGTCGTCCTCCTCCGGGCGCGCTCCGCGATGCCGCCGCCGCCGCCGCTGCCGGACTCCCCTGGCCTGCGGGCGGGACCGGCCGAGCCGAAGGGGAAGGGACGCGGGCTGCGGTGCGGGCGACGGGACGGAGAAAGGCGGCAGCGCCCGAGAGGGCCCACTCGCGCTCCCCTCTCGCCTCCTCGCGCCGGCCCTGCGCCTCCCCCCGGGCTCGCGTTCTGCTGAGTAACGGCCCCGGCGCGAGGCGCTGGAGCTGCCGCCGCCGCCGCCGGTGGCTCTCGGTCGGCCCTCAGGTCCCGAGCAGCCGTGGTCTCAGCTGCTGCCGCCGCCGCTGCCGCCGCCGCCGCCGCCGCCCTTTACGGCACTGCAGACACCACCCAGCCCCAGCCAGGTGTTTCTCCGCTCGAACCCTCCTCCCTTCTGGCTCCGGTTCTGCCTGCCAGGCGCGGGGCTCGCGATCGTGGCGGGAGGGAGGCTGGAAGGGAACCGAACTGGGGGGGGCGGGGGGCCAGCGAAGGACTCGCTCAGCCAGGACTTGGTCACTGACTGGATGGAGATGCCAACACTGACCCGGGCTCCAGCCTCCGAGCAGGCAGGGGGCGGGGCGCAGTCCGGTTTAACCCGATTTTCACCAATCGCGAGCCGACCCCTGGAGCCCGGCGCCAGGAGAGGCTGAGATGAGTCGGCAGGAGGCGGGGACTGCGGAAAAGAAGGGCCAATGGAAGCGAAGATTCCCCGCCCCTTTCGCCTTGATAGACATCCGTGTTTGGACCAATGGGGGGGGGGGGATTCTAGCTTCGAAGAAAGCGGGATTGGGATGCAGAGTCTGAGTGAGGAGGAGCGGAGGGATGGAGTCTTGGCCTCGAGGGAAAGCCTTCAAGCGAGCTGAGGGACCGACCGAGGGTGTCCTTTGACCTCCGCGCGGCGGCGTCACGTGGACTGAAGGGGGCGGGGCGAGAAAGCTAGATCAGTTTCTTCCGGGTCAGTGACAGGCGTCTTCTCCATGAGGTCTTGAGTCTTCCTACAATAGTTTCCAGCGTCTGGTGCTTGTGATTTCGGCGATGAGCTCCCAGAGAGGGAACGTGGCCCGTTCCAGGCCTCAGAGACATCAGAATATGTTTAGCTTCAAAAATGACAAGTTTGATAAGACCGTTCAGACCAAGGTAGGAACCTGCCTTGCAGCATTCACTCTGACTCCTCCAGGAAGGAATGAATGGTTCAGTGGAGGGGAAGGAGGAAATGAGAAGGAGCTGGCGAGGGCGAGTGTGTGTGGAGCGCAGCCCGGAGTTGGTTTTGGCTGCAGCGCAACCCTTTCCGAAATGATATTCCCACACCCTGACCTGGATGTGTTGTCTCCCCATGAATGGATTTGGCAGTCAACCCTTAGCACTAATTGCCCAGAGAGTGAATGGGTCCCTCATCAAACCTAAAATGCAAATGGGTGAGTTGAGTTTGTTGGACGCTCCTATCTGGATCACATATTTGCAGTAGAAAAAAAAATGCAGATGATGTGGCACGAGTGACTCTAAAATTTTGTGCCAACTTTATGCAGCAACTGTTTGTTTGTTTGTTTTTGGAAAATCCCACGTCCATATGTTTGTAGTGGGGAATGGGAAGGATTAAACGTTCTCAGGCCCAGTGCTTTCACTAATAATCATGGGTATTTTGAGGATGGAGTTGTTTGATGAATGTAAAAATGCTTGTTTTGTTTTTTTTATAACTCATTTACTTCGTTAGCAGGATTTCTGCCACCTGAAAGAAAATTAAGACTGTCTACTTAGGCACAGGTCTTGGGTTTTATAAAGCTACTAATCCGCTGTAGGTGTCTGCCCCTCCAACTTCTCCATAGCTGTATGGAGAGGAGATAATTGGAGACAAGGACATCTTGGGGGCCACCTTCACATCGGGTAAACCTGATATTCACATAATCTGGAGTTCAGATTTCCTGATTGTGCAGCTTAAGTAAATCATTTTAATATTTAGTTTCTCTGAGCCTTACTTTAGTTTCAGACGAGAAATCTGGCAGGATTGTTGTGAGGCTAAATTAAATGATGTATATAAAAAAGTCTAGATCATAATAAATGTCCAACAAGTGATTAATTTCTCAACATTGAAATTACTGATTATAGTAACTTGGGGTCCCCTTTTCTTTTTCTCTTTCTGTCTTCACTAACTACATACATACATACATACATATATATATATATATATATATTTATATATATATATTTATATATATATATTTTTTTTAATATATATTTTATTGATTTTTTACAGAGAGGAAGGGAGAGAAATAGAGAGCTAGAAACATCGATGAGAGAGAAACATCAACCAGCTGCCTCTTGTACACCCCCTACCGGGGATGTGCCCACAACCAATGTACGTGCCCTTGACCGGAATCAAACCCAGGACCTTTCAGTCCCCAGACCGACGCTCTACCACTGAGCCAAACCGGTTTCGGCACTAACTATAAATATTTAATGAGTACATTCCATGTACAAGGCCCTGTGCTTCAGTGCATACAAAAAGAGTTGATTTTGCTTATAGTTTCCTGGGTCATTGGACAATAAGCAAGCACAAAGATATATAGTTATGAATTATAATACATTCTGATGAGGGGGAGACAGTTCAGTAAAGAAGAATAAAGAGGGCCGAAACCTGTTTGGCTCAGCGGTTAGAGCATCAGCCTGCGGACTGAAAGGTCCCAGGTTCAATTCCGGTCAAGGCCATTTACCTTGGTTGAGGGCATATTCCCAGCTGATAAAATGTTTTTCTCTCATTGATATTTCTAGCTCTCTATCCCTCTTCCTTCCTCTCTGTAAAAAAAATCAATAAAATATATTTTTATAAAGAATAAAGAGGGATATTTTCAATTAGATGCTCTAGGGACCTCTTCTTTTCCTTAGATTCAGAAGGGGAAAAAAAGCTGAAGCAACATTTGGGAAGATTTTCTCAAGTGTGTGTCTTATCATTAGGTAAACCTAAATAAAAGGCTGTGTTATTCCTAATAAGTGACTGTCTGGTCTTGTATTCTTACTGTAAGTTTTGGCATAAGCAATTCTAATTGTTTTCATCAGATGATAATGCAGTTTTAATAATCATTTAGCCACAGTGTACCATACTGTGCTTCTTGTTCTTATAAGTACAAGACTTCTTGAACTTGTACTTCTTATGCAGTTCTTTGTAGACTTCTTATACTTCTCGTTGTCCATTTTCTTGGTGTTATCTAACAGCTGTGGCATTATGGTCTTAAACCTTATTTGTCCATTGGTAGAAACACCAGGTGTTTCGTTATTGGAGATACTGGCAAAAATAGCAAGAAATATTTTACTGAGGCAAAATCATTCGGTTGATTGTTCATCCATCTGTCTAATGGAGGACTAATAATTGGCTGCATTTATAGCAAATTCTTGAGCCAGTTAGATGCCACTATCTAAAGCCAAAATTTTGTCAGAAGCATCTGACCCTGCTTCATTCATGTGCTTTATTTCAGAAAGTTATTGGATTCAGTGACATCTAACACAGAAAGAGTAATTGTATGATCTTCTGTAACTCTCCTTAAAGGATTATAGTTACAATTGATTACTTGTGCCTCATTATTTTGTAGGAGATCTACATTAATTCCCTTTTCCTTCTCTGCCAAGCAATTTGTCAGGACTTGACTAAAATTTGAGGATGGATAATGACAGATGTTTTATTGGGAAACTTATATGGGTGAAGCACCCATTCCCAAAATACTCTGTCTTTGTATACTTGAATATTTTCTAGAAGAATAGAGAAACTTGTTCTGTGGCATTCTATGTAAGCAAACTTAGACCAACGGCTCAAACCACATGTGTCAAACACAAGGCCCTCGGGCCAAATCTGTCCCGCCAGGCCTTGCAATGTGGCCCGCACCGCGCTGTCATCACTGCACTCCGCTGCGTTTCCATCACAATGACAGTTTATGACTGTTCAGTAAACCATTCGGCCTGCGATTTAGGCTGGATTTTAGATTTTGGCCCCTTCTCTGATTGAGTTCGACACCCCAGCTCAAACTAACAGAGGTAGGTTTTAGCTTAGTATAAGGAAGTTGTCTAATAATGAAGAGCATGCATAGGATTTTTAAACTTCCCCTTGACTGGGATTATTTAAAAGAAATCTCTTGCCATTGGCTGGTAGTGCTGTTCTTGGGACTTGAAGAGGTGGGATTGAGGTGGAAATAGGATTAAATATCTTGTAGTCATTTGATACTAAAATATAGATATCATTAAGACAGTCTTGTGAACCCTAGCCACTTTGGCTCAAAGGATGGAGTGTCCATTTCAGTCCTAGGTTCAGTTCTGGTCAAGGGCATATGCCCAGGTTGCCAGCTTGATCCCCAGTAGGGAGCATGCAGGAGGCAGCCAGTCAATGATTCTCTCTCATCATTGATGTTTCTATCTCTTTCTCCCTCTCCCTTCCTTTCTGAAACAAATATATACATACATACATACATATATATATATATATATATATATATATATACATACATACATATATGTATGTATGTATGTAAATATAAAGGCAATATGCAAATTATCAAGGATGCTGTAACATCGTGACCACTCATGCGGAGGCTGCACGTGCAGGTGGGCAGGAGGGAACTGCGTGCGTGGTGAGCAAGCCACTGATGGCACAGGCCCGGAGAGAGCTGCGGCACGTCTGCCTCTGTGCATGAGCTGCAGAGGAAACACCTTTTCTGACCGCTCATTGGCTAAACTCCTGGTACACCACTGGCAGTGTTCTTGGTAACTTGGGTAATAAGAATCCAAGAAGATGATCTAGTGTTTTTCCACCTCACTCCTGAAGGGGAAAATGAAGGTCCGCTGCTGGATCAGCTAAGAAATGTCATATCCTGCCCTAGCTGGTTTGGCTCAGTCGATAGAGCCTCGGCCTGCGGACCACAGGGTCCGGGTTTGATTTTGGTCAAGGGCTCAGGTTACGGCTCATGCAGGAGGCAACCAATTGATATGTCCCTCTAACATTGATGTTTCTCTCTGTCTTTTTCTCTCTCTTCCACATTTTCTAAAAATCAATGGAAAAATATCCTCAGGTGAGGATAAGGAAGGAAGGAAGGAAGGAAGATCATATCCTATGAGAGAGACATCTTGAAAATGTCTAAAGAAAGTTTGTCAATTTTTTGTGGTGAAGGGACTAGACTCTGTGTTGATGAAAACACCTTGGCGGCTGCAGTGGCCAGCAGTGGCAGCAGCAACAACGAGAAGGGGGCGGCGCCTTCCCCTGATCAGCCCAGTCACCTACCACAGAGGGAGGCTAGACTGCAGGGAGTGGGCCTAAGCTGTCAGTAGGACATCCCCTGAGGGCTCCTAGACTGTGAGAGGGGGCAGGCTGGACTGAGGGAAACCCCTCCCCCCCCAGTGCAGGAATTTTTGTGCACTAGGCCTTTAGTACATTATAAAAAAAAGAAATGCATACTTGTTGAAGAATATTTGTAATAATAGAGAAGTGAATAAAGTATAAAAGTGAAATATCCTTTCCCAGCACAATTCCTCTTCAGGTACACTTTTTATTTATTCATGCAAGGCTGTCTACCTGAAGGTAATTATCATTAGAATTTCTTAATTGCTAACTTAAGCAGAAAGGGAAATTATTGGAAAGATACTGCACTGATCTCATGAAGCTTATACAAGGTGTTTGCTTATTTGTTTTTTTATTCAAAATTACCAGATTGGCATTACTGCTGGGAAATTTTATTCTCATTTCACTTGGTGTATATTCAACTTCATGCAATCTTCCGAACTTTCAAGGCCTCCTGCTGTCACCCTGGAGTTGATACTTTATTAGCATCAAATAGAATCAGAGTGTTGAAAATAAAATTTCGCTCACTTTCTTGCTCTACCTGACTACTCCTTATAGTCCTTAAGTAATGATGTTTGTTCAACTCCTCCAGTTAGAACCCTTTCTCCCATTTGCTGCTTCAGTCCATTTCTTTCTCACTCAAAACCCCAGCTCTTCTGAAATATATAACATCAGATTGTTATCCCCTCCCAATCTGTCCTTACCTTCTAGTTATACCTCCTCATTTGTACCTGGCTCACTGCTTTTCCATAATTCCTAGCATCGTATTTAGGATATTCGCATGGATAATCCAACATTTGATCCTTCAGCTTTTAGACCCCCC